CTCACTCTCTCTCTCTCGTCTCTCTCTCTCTCTCTCTCTCTCTCTCTCTCTCTCTCTCTCTCTCTCTCTCTCTCTCTCTCTCTCTCTCTCTCTCTCTCTCTCTCTCTCTCTCTCTTCTCTCTCTCTCTCTCTCTCTCTCTCTCTCTCTCTCTCTCTCTCTCTCTCTCTCTCTCTCTCTCTCTCTCTCTCTCTCTCTCTCTCTCTCTCTCTGGTGTTTTATGCAGAGTGAACTGAGTAAAAGCTGTCATATCCTGTTCAGGCAACCTACAAAACCCTAAGCCCTAGAGCCTCGTGCGCAGTACCGAACCCGCGGTCCCAAAACCCTAAGCTCCTCCCAGCTTTTGAGGGTTTTTGGGGTTGGGTGTTTAGGGTTTTGGGTCTGGTTTCAGGGTTTAGGCGGTTTAGGGTTGTGGGTTTAGGAATTTAAGGTTTGGGCCCGAACCTTTTAACCTGAAACTTGCAGAAAACTCTGAATTCCAAATGCTGGAGGCTCAATCCCAAGCCGTACTGCTGATGGACAAAATCCTGCATGACCCACTATAAGGAATATACCATAGTTCCCACAGTTTTCAGTCCTTGGGGTCATGCAGGATTTTGTCCATCAGCAGTAGTGCATGCACATGTTGCCAAAAACTCCCACGAACCCCCCCAACCCTCCTAAACCCTAAACCCTAAACCTCCAAGGAACTTCCAGTACCTTCAGCTCCTCTCGATCGTTCCTGGGCATAGAGGAGGGCTTAAAATGCAGGGTTTACGGGAAGGTCTCCGGTTTAGGGTTTAATAACCATAAGGTTTCTAGGATATATAGGATTCATGTTGAGGGTTTCTGTATGGTTTCTGAGTTAGGGTTTGGGTTTGCGGTTTAGGGTTACTTGAAGGCTCATGAGACTTAGTAAGTAAGGTTATAAGTAGGTTATAATTAGGATAACCCCACTTAGGGGCCCCAGTTATAACCTACTTGCTAAGTCCCATGATCCTCTCAGTATGGTTCAATCCCAGGGGTTGCTCTGGTGTTGTTTCCGGCCCTCCAAAGTTGTCGCGCTTCTGCTTCTGTAGAGATGTTGCCGGCTTCTGCAGGGGCGTTGTCATGGAACCCTCCTAAACCCTGACTCCACAGCCCTCTAACTAAGGAATCTACGTTAACTCCTATTGGGGATCCTACTTTAGTTTAGGGCATATTCCCTCAACTATGCCATATTGGAGTTCCCTAAATCCTGAACCCTATAGATCCCTTATGATGGATCCCTTAAAGTCAAAGGAACAGTAGGTCCTAGGTAAACCTAAGAAAAGGGCCCTGGGGTCAGCAATGTCAGTCTGTGGCTTCCTTTCGTAGATTCTAAGACCCAGAGTAGGCCCTTATTCCCTTCTTTAAGGTGTACTTGGAGGGTCATGGGACTTAGTAAGTCTAAGTAAGATTATGAGTACCCTAACTGGGGTTATAAGTGGTTTTAAGTATCATTACCCTAGCAAGAACCCTGGTTACTAAGTCCCATGATCCTTTAAGTAGGCTCCCTTGTAACCCCCTTTAAGCCAAAAAGGGCACCCTTTGGTTTTCCTAGGTCACTCTTAGGTCTATTCGGTTTAAGGCGTAGAACACCGAGGCTTCTTTGTGAGGGGTTGGGGGTTTGGGGTTGGGGGTTCAGGGTTTTTAGGGTTCATGGTTGAGGGTTTAGGGTTCGGGGTTTAGGGTTTAGGGTTTAGGGTTTAGGGTTTAGGGTTTAGGGTTTAGGGTTTAGGGTTGGTGGGTGGGGCTCAGGGTTCAGGGTTTGGGGTGAGCTAAGGTTCATAGGGCAAAAGGAGGGACCCTTAGTGGGGACCCCTACCCTATAGTGGGCTATATAATGGGTATATAATAGCTAGATTAAGGGTATATACCTAGGGGTCCTTATTCGGGGTCCCTCCTTTTACCCTTGGAGGTAGTACAGGTATGCAGTATGCCCCTACTACCCTAAGGCCCCAAAGTAGTTCCTTTTTGGGGGTTCGTATATAGAATCCTATAAGGTACTCCCTAAAAGGAACTACTTTGGGGCCTATGGGTAAAGCTGGTGCCGGCAAGAGCTTAACTTGAAACTTCAACGCACGACTAAACTCGAATCAAAAGCTCAACATTCCGCCCCTTCATTGGTTATCATCGTCGACGGCTATGAGGTCAAGCCCCTTGCCTCGCTGACGCCGCAGGAGTCGGGGCCTCGACGTGGTCGGCTGTCCAGCGGCAAGCACCATGAACACCGAGGTTGAGCATCTTCATTGAAGGCTTCCGCAAAGGCGTAGCCGCGGCAAAGGATAGACCACTGCTCGATACGACCAAGATGTGTTCCTGCTGAAAGTGCCAGTGTGTTGGTCGCTGCGCGGGGGAACCCCTGAAGCTCAAACCAGGTTAGAACCCACCAACAGGAACGCAACCCCCTAAACCGTAAACCCTGAAAACCCTAAACCCTAAACATTAAGCCTGGGAGTTAGGATTGGGGGGGACCCTTGGGGATATAGACCCTCTCGATAAGGCCCCTTTTAAGAGAGCCAGAAGTAGGGTTCAGAAGGGGTACCCTTTAAGGGGTCCCCCTAATAGTACAACCTAAAGCCCCAACAACCAAAAAAAAAGACACAAGCGACCCGAGGTCTCTCTGTTTGAAGTTCGTTGGCCGACAGTCCTGGCCGAGATTTGGAGGTTGATCCGATCCATCACCATGGACCCTTGGTTTAGGGTTCCTTTAAGGGTTCCTTCAAGGGTCCTCTAAGCGTTCCCCTAAGGGCTCCTCTAAGGGTTTAGGGTTTTGGGGTCTGGGGTTTAGGGATGGCTCGGGAGGGGTTCCGTTAAGGGTTCCTTTAAAGACACCATAAAGGTTTCTATGAGGGTTTAGGGTTCAAGGTTTAGGCTTTAGGGTTCAGGGCAATCACCCGGCACCGTCGGTTTCGGGCTTTTTTCGGAGCTTCGTGGGCAGTTGTAAGCGGGGCTATAAGTCCTGTATTATGGGTTAGGACTCACAGCTATCCTGCCCACAAACCCCAGTCATAAGTCATAACTACCCATGAACCTCCAAGTCGTGTGAAAAGGGTTCCTTGAAAAGGGATCGATGGGCATTCTTCACAGGAGTCGCCTGCAGGAACCCGGATGAACATTTCTCAACACCGTCACAAAGGCAGTGTAGTAAAACGCTCATCGATTGATAAACCCTGCTGACATCCCGAATGCAACTTTCTGAAGCGTCTTTCTGGACACCCCAAAGCGAACAGTTATCAAACATCAGCCCTGAACCCTAACCTTAAACCCTAACCCCTAAACCCTAAACCCTAAACCCTAAACCCTAAACCCTAAACCCTGAAGCCGAAACCTACAAAAGGACCTGGTGACCCTCCCGAGCCTGGGATGCCTCATGGAAGTGCCTTCCGCCTTCGGCGAAGCTTGGCAGAGACTTTAAAGTCCTTTCTTCAGGCCCCGGAGGCTTCACGGTACAGCCTAGGGCGCCTATAAAGGGATGTACCTTTAAGGGGCTCCCTTTAAGGGATCTATAGGGTTTTGGGGTTTTGGGTTTAGGTTGATGACATAAATCCTGCATTACCTGAAGGGCCCTAGACTATGAGAATTATTGTGTATTCCTTATTACGGGTAATGCAGGATTTATATCATCAACCGCAGTACAGCCTTAGACCCTTAAGGTTCGGGGTTTAGGGTTAGGGTTTTAGGGTTTTTAGGGCTTAGGGTTTAGGGTTGAGGGCTTCGCAGTAATGATATTCGGGGGGCCTTAGTAAATACCTATACTGTTTTGGGGGCTCCTTATTATGACTGTAACAAAATGGCCCCAAAAACCCTATTCTGACTGTTAAGGCCGCTATAGTACAGCCTTCTGGTTCAGGGTTTAGGGTTTAGAGGTTTTGGGTTTTAGGGTTTTTGGGCCAAGGTTTTCGGTTCGGGGCTTGGGTGTTCATCATATGGGGCTTGACTGTTGAAGGTACCAGGCTCAGTGTTCAGGGCAGCTTGGACTGTGCGTTCCGTATTAATCTTGATAAGGTTTTAGGGCTTCCACCGTCATCTCCCATGGTGACTTCCATGGTCTAAATTTCCCCCTATAAGGTTTTAGGGCTTCCTATAAGGGGTCCTGAGCAAGGAGAACAGAGTGTATTTGGTTTAGGGCTTAGCGCAATTAGGATCTGGGCTTTATGAGGTTTGAACCATCAAGGTTTTATAAGTGGGTTCACGGCCTAGGAGAGCTTCCTTAGCATAACGAGAAGTTCTAGGATGGTTGGGACTGTGAGTAGACTCCGGGGTTTTAGAGCTCAGGCTTTGGGGGGTCTGGAGTTTCACGTTTCCACCCTAAACCTACCCTAACAAATTGGGGAACCTCAAAATTGAGGGTAGGGAGACTCTCTCCCTAGGAGATTCCGGGCCCTCCTAGGGAGATACCTGGACCCTTAGGGTAAACCCCAAACGGGGAGGTTCAGGTTCGGGTTTCAGGGTTGGGATTCTTGCTAGTAGCTGAGTGGATACACTTTACACTTTTTGGGATAATATTACCCATTATAAAACTGAAAGTGTGCACTTTTGGGGGGCTTATGATCTCAGCAACTGAGCTTGGCATCGGGCAGCTGGGTTACCGTAGGTCTTTATGGGAGTAGGGTTCCTTTGTGGTACAGGTTCCATTTAGGATTTAGGATATATGCAGGGCTCCCTTGATCCTTATGCCCTTATCCTAAACCTTAAACCTTAAACCCTAAACCCGAAGCCCTTACCCCTAAACCCCACACTCTAAACATTTAGTGGTTCACGAGGCTTTCGCTGGAACAGACGAAAAAAGTGGCCCTTAAAGCAAACTAACGTTTAAAGTTCACCGAAAAAACCCACGGGTGTTAGGAGCTTTCCCTAGCACTCCAAATTAGCCCAAAGTAGGTACTATTTATGGACTTTAGACCCCAAAGTAGGTACTATTTGTATATTTGGAGTCTTAGTAGAGGTCATTGTTAAGACCTCTATACTAAACCTGTATCATAACCCTTTAAAGGAACCCTCATAGTAACCCTTCTAGAACCCTTTGGGCTCGGGGTTTCAGATGCAGCGTCGACTTCCGGGTCTCACTCACGCCCCCCTTTCGCTGGGTTTTCGTTAAGGAACTTAATTTAAGTCACCATAATAAGGAAACCCTATTATATTTACGATAGATCCTCTATTATGGTAACTTAAATTAATTAAATTAAGTTCCTTAACAAGAACCCAGTTCGAGACGCATGGTGGGGTCCCTGGTTGGAGGGTTTAGGATTCCTTTAAAGGTTCCTTTAAGGGTTCCTCTAAGGGTTCCTTTACGGGCTCCTTTAAGGGTTTAGGGCTTTGGGGGTTTAGGGTTTGGGGTTGAGGTGTAGGGTTTGGGGTTTGAGGATTTAGATTAGGATGTATGGTTCTGGGCTCAGTGACACTCCAGGAGATGATGGTGAGATTTCTGGTGCCCGTCGTGCCACGGCTGCAGCTTGAAATAGAAACACGCGGCCCTTTATCTAAGGCTCAAACACTTCACTAATAATCCTAGACTATGCAGCCTGGTCTTTCCCATCTGCTGCACCCTAAGCTTGATAGTAGCGTTAGAATTAGGGAACTTTGAATCGTAGTAGTGTTTAGTAACCCTAAGGGTTCAGCTAATCCTTTTTTGTTCAGGCTTCGCGTAAGCGGCTAGGGCTGACGGGTTTATGATTCAGGGGTTCCGCGGCTGAAGGGTGTAGGGTTTCGGTTTCGGATGGGTTTCTGTTTAGTTTACAGGTTTGTTCAGGGATTTAGGGTTGGGTTTTGGGATTTGTTGTTGAAGGTTTAGGGTTTATACTTAGCCCCAGAACGGGCCCCAGAAAGTTGAAACATGGGTTTAGGATGATTAGTGCTAAGATTCCTTGTAATGTACCTTCAGGGCATGAGTATGAGGCTCAGAACGTTCCATCTTTCCGTCTTCTACTATAAACACCCCAAACCCTGCAAAGCCAAACCCTACAACCCTAAACCGTTCTTGGGTATGGCCACCACTCAGTAATAGTTTAATAATATTCATAATGTAGATATATTGAGACCTTCATTGTAGCCCTATTATCAACTCTTACTGCATGGGGGCAGTACCTACCCCAAACCCCTAAACTTGAAAGCCCGATGCTCCAGATCCCCAAAGCTAAACCCTAGACCCTAAGCCTTAAGCCTTAGTTCCTAAACCCTAAACCCTAAACTAATCCCAGTCCCTAAATCCTAAACCCGTAGACCCTAAACCCTAAACCTCGAAGCCTTAAAGCCCTAAGCTTCAAACCCTACAGCCCTGAAAACCCTATAGATCCCTTAAAGGTACCCTTATAGATCCCTTTAAAGGAACCCCACTTAAAGCCCTGAGCCCAAGGAGCCCTGAAAGGAACCCTTAGAGGCACCCTTAGGAAGCTTTAAAGGAACCCTAAACCTCGAAGCCTTAAAGCCCCAAACCCTAAAGCCCTGTAGGTGCTCGCCGGCCTGACTTTCGTCGCGTGGGGCCTCCTTCTCCTCCTTCGCAAGTCTCTGCGCCCTGGGCCAAACACTCTAAACCCTACGCCTAACCCTAAACCTGAAGCCCTAAACCTTAATTTAAACCCTAAGCCTTAAACCCTAAACCTTAAACCCTAAACCCTAATTCCTAAACCCTAAACCTTAAACCCTAAACCCTTAAGCCGAACCCTAAGGGCTCCCTTAAGGCTTCCAGGGATGTATAGGGTTCTATAGCGGTTCAGGGCTTCAGGGCTTCGGGCTTCTGGTGCTTTCTGGGCGAGATGAACTCTGAGAGGGGTTTATGGTTGCAAAGCACCATACGGGTAGTCGGGTTTAGGGTTTAGGGTTGTGGGGTTGCGGGTCTTAGGGTTTTTGGGTTGAGGTTTTAGGTTTGGGTGTTCATGATATGGGTAGTTGTCAAAATTCTGATCCCTGTTTGGGTACCCTAAATATTAGGTTCCGTATTAGATTAAGGACCCAAAAAGGGACCATAATTTTGACAACCACCCATATCGGGATGTATACTATACCTGTAGCCGAAAAGACTTACCTTTTAGGGAACTATATATAGAAACCATAATCAGGAACCCTAAAAAGGTAGGTCTTTCCGGCTACAGGTAAGGGTACGAGGGCCTTACTCGTGAGGGTCGTTTCGTCGAGATGCACTCGAAGGGTTCCCTTCAAGGGTTCTTTGAAGGGTTTAGGGTTTGGGCGTTTAGGGTTGAGGGTTTAGGGGGCTCCTTCTATGGATCTATAGGGTTCTATGATAAGGGTTTTGGGCCCACGACTTAGCGGGTTTCCGGCTTTGGGCTTTGGGCTTTTGGTTTTTTCTGGGCGAGATGAACCCTAAAAGAGCTTTAGGTGAAAAGGCGCCATATCGGCATTTATACTGTATGGTTTTAGGGCTTGAGGTGAGGGGTTCATACTACAAGGGCACAAGCGCCCTACTTTTGTGTAAGGGTCATGTGGCCTTTGAGGTGGGTTCGGGGTTTGCAGTTCAGGGCTCAAGGTTGGCTTGCATAGGTGGGAGCTTCAATGCTCCTGGGTGCTTTTTCTGTTCGAGTTTTTTGGTTTAATTATTAATGGTGTACTTGCGCCCTGAGGGCTCTCGCCATGTTTGTACAATGATCCCCAGAAGGGGAGCATCTGAATTTCGTGCTTTGTCCCTCGCTGTTAAAGCACGATGACACATGTAAGACCCTGGACCCCAAACCCGGAAACCCTAAAGCCTTAAACCCTAAAGCCTTAAAACCTTAACCCTACACTAAGACCTACACCCTACACTGCAAGACACCTGTCAAGACCCATTTCAGTGAAGCTCCCCAGAACAGGCCAACGGTTGGGGAGTTGTTCGGATAAGCTTTAGAGTTTGGGCTTTAGTATTCAAAGTTTAGGCTTTAATATTTAGGGTTGAGGGTCGCAGGCATCCAAACCCTAAACCTTGCAACCCTAAAACGCTGAAAATGCTAAAAGGCGGGGCTTTTGCGAGAGATTTGTGCTGAGGGAGTGGGAGATTACATTATACATCTGCTTGGTACCTAGACCCCCCAAAAGTAGGTAAAATAATGGCCCAAAACCGGCCCGTCCAAGTACGTATGCCATCGACGTACCGGACGGCCCGATGACCCAAAGCCGAAGGGCTACCCCCTAAACCCCGAATCCTACACCCTAAACCCAAAACCCCAGACCCAAACCTAAGCATAAAACCTACTTGGACCCCAAAAGTATGTACAGTAAGAGCCTTTTATAGGATTTGGGCCATTATTTTACCTACCTTTGGGGTTCTAGGTAGTCCCTAAACCTAAACCTTCCCACAACCGGTGAGACATCGAAGCCGCTTTCGAGGCGTTTCGCACCTGGGAAGTTTGCCGAGTCCCTGCAAGAGTTGATCACTGTCTCCGGCGCTCAGGCGCTTGGGCTTCTTGGGTTTACTGAAAGAGTTTTGGACATGGAAGAACCCCAAACCTGTAAAGAACCCTAAACCTAAACCCTAAACCCTAAACCCCAAACTTGTATAGGATCTGGGTTTGAGGGTTCAAGTTACTATAGAGGCATTCATAGCTAGAATAGGGTATATCCTATGTTCTTGTGCATTTGACACCTTCTCGACACGTCGGACGGCAGTAGCATCGTCTTAAGCTTCAAGCACCAAAAGCACCAAGTTATAATTTTTCGGAAGCCCGCTTCTAGAGGGTCCAAGCACCAAATTGCAGGGCTAACAAAGACCGCGCCGTCTTGGCGGAGGGCTTCTGCCGACTGTTTACCGTGGTCTGCACAACTAGTTGTCGTAATCCCACTTGTTCTCGGTTTCATTGTGTCAGAGCACACCCCGAGACCCTATCTATGCAATACATCTAAAGCCCCTATATTTCTTCAGCAGTCGGTCGGGTTACGCGCTCCGATAGGACTTTCTGATGACCTTACGCCGGCCGAAAAAATTCCTTGAGCAACAATTTTGTAGGTTAAAGGCTCGGGTTCGGTCGGGACTTAGGCCCTCAGCTCGACTAAACTGTGGCGAGCGTCCTCGAAAAAGGCACCTCCTGAGCACCACACCTAAACCTCAAAAGCTATTTCTACTCGGCTGCAGGTGCTCGAGCTGCTGATGCTTGTAGGCCGGCTGTTGAGTTGGAACATTCGGAGCTGGGCCGGGGCAGGGGGGGGAGCGGGGCGATTTGAGAGTTTGTGCGTTGGTTTTGCCACGCCTTCAAACCTAACCTAAGCCCTAAACCCTAAACCCTTCAAGCCAAGCCCTAAACCCTAAACCCTTCAAGCCTAAACCACCTAAACCACCTAAACACCCAAGACCCTAAGCCTCCAAGAGCCCTCAACCACCCAAAGTGCAGGGCCCGATCACCGGACCTGCCACAGCTGGGGCTTCCCCTGAGCCCTGAACCCGACCCTAAGGGTTCACTGGGTTTAGGGTTTAGGGTTTAGGGTTTAGGGTCCAGGCACTGTATCTCTGAAGGAGGATCTGGAGTGTCCTGGGGAGGGTCCTGGGTCTCTTTGGGGTCTCAGAAGCCCTCAATTTTGAGGTTCCCCAATTTGTTAGGACCCTGAGGGTAGACCCTAAACCCGACGAGCTCATGGGAGACCCTCAACCCAAGCAACCGCAACCCTACAGCATCTAACGCATAAGCCATCAACAATAAACCCCAAACCCGGGAGGATGTTGAAGGCATCCTCTTCTTCAGGCCAATGCGTCGTATGTGCTGTAAAACCCTAGTGTTCAACGGCTAGCAAGCGGGCCTACATCACTACCAGTAATTTTAAGGGTTCCTGCCATAATTGTAATTAATATAATATGCACAAAACCCTGTTCTAATTTTTCTAATTACTAAGGCCCCTATATTCTCTGTCAACCTGTAACCCTCCATCAACTACGGGGTGAATGGGGCTTTCTGAGCAGAGGCCCGCACCATATAACAATTTGGACAATTTAGAAACACAGACCCCTGCAACCCTACCTATCTATCTGTCTGTGTTTATACATGTATGTATATATATATATATATATAAACACCAAAGAAATTCACCTGAAGAGAACATAGCAAATCATACACACACATATGTATGTATGTATATATATATATATACATACATACACACACCTTTATTTCATTGTATATATATATATGTATATGCACACACACACACACATATGCACAGAGACGCACATACCTGCAGGCACCCTCTTCTTCAGCGTCCTAGTCCGGAACGGCTTTATTCTCTTCACTTGTGCTCGTGGTCCGAACCAAGTTTCAACAGCCGCCTGGCATGCATTGGAATACCAAAACCCTAAACCGTATAGATCCCTCAAAGGAACCCTACGGTTGATGATATAAATCCTGCATTACCTTAAGGACTCTCAACTATGGGAATTTTGGTATATTCCTCATTATGGGTAATGCAGGATTTATATCATCAACCGTAGGTCTAGGTAGTCCTGATTTATGGGGAATTAGCCGCCTGGCATGCATTGACAGTTAAGTAATGCGTTATGGTTATCATCTTACTACTTGTATGAACAATACAATTTATCTCAACAGTTGTTATAATCCTCATTATTACTCGTAGCACTACTATTGTTCTCTTCTTTACATCGTCGTCGTCGTTGTTGTTGTTGCTGCTCTTGTTTGTTACAACTGTGACTATTGTTATTGTCATCTTACTATTGGAGTACTATCAGTATGAGTATAGAGACTTAGGCGAGACATGTTAGTCAGTGTGGCTGCAGGATGTAGGTTTGTAAGGCAGAAAAGGTTTCATGGAAGTGTCATAGCGTTTTTGTGTTACGTAGTGTTCATGCGTCTTCGAATTTACCCTGAGGCTTCAAAGTAGTTCCTTTTGGGGTTCGTATATAGAATCCTATAAGGTAATCCCTAAATGGAACTACTTTGGGGCCTATGGGTAGGGCTTTGGGTTTAGGGTGTTTCTGCCTTGGTGTTCCCGGGACTCATCCGTCGAGGCTTCCGACCGAAACACCATTTTTAAGTGTTTTAGGTTTGAGGGTACGGTTTAAGGGTTTAGGGTTTAGGGTAACGTTTAGGGTTTAGGGTTTAGGTTAAGTTTTGAGACTAGACACGCTATATCCCAAACGTCGTGGATGGTTTTCGTTGGGTGTCTTTTGTGTGTTTTTGAAGCCTCAGATGAAGAGTCCAGACCAGCAGAAGACATTGCGCTACCATGGCGGAATCAAGGCCCAAAGATCATACCAACCTGCGGCTTTTGGAGATCAAGTCTGGTTTAGGGTTTACCCTAAGGCTCCTAACAAATTGGGGAACCTCAAAATTGAGGGCAAGGACTCTCCCTAGGACATTCCAGACCCTCCTAGAGAGATACCTGGACCCATAGGAGGGTAGGGTTTAGGTTAGGTTAAAACTGAACCAGCACAGGCCCTGAACCCCCTACGCCTCGAGCTCTCACAAAAAAGGGTCCCCCAGACAGTCACGGAGGTAAGCCCCATACCCAGAGACCCCATTGTCCCGCCGTTTGCGCAATATGCCTTCAATCATATTGGGGATCCTACTACGCTTGCTTAAGGAAGGGCCTGTAGCACCCTTCAGATACGCCATGCAGGCCCGCTATATACAACGATGTTGCCCGCCTGCCTGCCTGAAGAAGGAAATCCTAAACACTAGGCCACTAATCCCTAGACCTTGTATCTCAAATCGTAAAGCCCTGAACACCCTAAACCACTGAATGCACCGTTTAGGTGGTGATCTATCCGCACATCGACTGCCCAAGCATCTTTGCCTTGGGTGACCTGGAGCTCTGGTCCCTCGGTAGCAGCGCTACACCGTCTTTGTTTCGATCGTCGGGGCTTGAGTCGAGCGCTTACCGTTGGTTTTTTTTTGTAGGGTTCGAGAAGGGTAGGATATCGGATTTCCACTAGTGTGTTTCTAAAAGAAAGATTGGTTTCGTTTTTGGTGCGCTCTGAGATTTTTGTGTGAGGACAGTTCCGAATCCCCATCGTACCCTTAGACCCTTTTAATTTTGCGGGGTCTTGACTTAAACTGCATAGCTGGTAGAACAAAGGCTTGCCTTCAACTAGATACTGGAGCATGGTTTGCAATGTCGGGCTCCGCAAAAAAAAGAAGCATTTTTCGGTGAAAGTGCGGTTCTTCTAGCACCCTTTTGAAATCTATGCAGTAGGCGAACCGCACCAGTCGCAACTGAGTCGCAACGCATGTCACGGCCCTTGGGCTTCTAATCCAGGGGGTTTGCAGTCTTGCAGCCCTGTTGCCGATTTAGTTGCTGACCGTCTGGGGGTCCAGGTTTATAAGCCCGTAAACCCATAAACCCCTGAAGTCCTGAACCCTAAACCCATATACAACTGTATAGTATAGTAACAATCCATCATCGTGCTCAATGGCTTACTATTACAGGGTGAGCTGCTAGTTTTCGGGCTTATCTTGAACCCTGCATTGTAAGCCCCCTCAAGTTCAAACACATCTTCAACCCTCAGCCATTCTTTCAATCCGTAAGGGTTCATGATTAAGATTTCAGTTTGCCACGTTGCAAGCCACCTCCCGAGAAACCTTGAACTTCCACACCCGCAAACCTTGTCCCCCCCAGCCCAGGCTATGATCACCTCTTTATATGGCCAGAGTCCGTAGCATTGTAGTTAATATACGGGCCTAAATAATTACCAATACCATTTTCTGCGCCACCTCTTGAATTTATTTTCTGCATGCGGTACGTCCCCTGCTGGACTTTGCACCATCTGAAGAAGAAGAATACTATTTTGGTGGTTCCTTCTTATATCTGTAGTATAATGGCACCCAAAACCATATTAAAATCTATCAAAGCCCCTATATTATAGAACCCTACTATAGATCCATTATAGAGCCCTTTAAGCCTTTAAGGAACCCTTTAAAGGGAACCCTATTAGGACCCTCTGTTAACTTCGGCCACAGAGTCCCTCAAAGGCCTCCAACCCTCGGCAAAAAGTATTCAACACTCTCACCCTAAGCCCTAAATCCTAAACCGTAAGCCCTAAACCCTAAACCCTAAACCCTAAACACCAAACACCCTAACCCTAAGCCCTAAACCCTAACAGCCTTAAGGCCTCGAATCAGATCCCCTAAGAACACCTAGCAAACTGAGTTAAGCAACGCTCAATGGAGACTCTGGGTGCTCTAGGTGGGCGTCTCCAACATAGGGGACCCTAATATAGTACCCTGAATAGTAGGATCCTTACTATAGGAACCCCCAAATCTGAATCCCGTGACAGCCAGGAACCAATTTGTTAACACAATTGGGCGGCTGTCAAAAATAGGGTCCCTTTTTGGGTCCTTGTTATAACACGGCACCTAGTATTTAGTGCACCCAAAAAGAGCCCCTAATTTTGACAACCACCCAATCGGAAGCGTAAGCCGATGGGATGCCAAAAGGGGTTTTAGCCTTATCGGGGTTTAGTAGGGACTACGGTTCCCATAATACTAAGGAATCCCTACCCCAAGAATCTTAAACCCCCTCTCTTTGGCCTCCCATCATAAGCCGATGGGATGCAAGGTTCGAGTTGATGCCGTACGCCTTGGCTTACAATGCTTCTTGGCCTGGGCTTCTTGCAACTTCGGGGTGCTTTGAACCCAACAAGCAGAGCAGGGTTCCTTCAAAGGGTTCCTGTAGGGGAACCAGCAAAGGGGTTCTCTAAACGGGATATAGAATATCGTGGCCTCGCCCTCGGTGCATTCCTGAAGGTTCTTCACAAGCAAAGGCCAGAATCATGGGCAATGGGCATAGGGATATAGTATAGTACAGTATGCTTTTATGCAGAAGCCCAGACGAATTTAATAGACAGGCTTGCCTTTCAGGGTTCAACATGGGTTCGAGAAGGGTTCAGCGTTCCTTTAGGATCTGGGAGTTTCCGAAAATGGGGGGTACCTTATTTTGGGCCCTTATTAATAATAGGGATCCTACTATTTAGGGTGCCATATGAGGATCCCCCATATTCGGAAGCTCCCACCTGGTGGGAGGGTTGAAGAGTGGAAGGACTTTGTGGGGCCAGGGTGAGGGATTAGGGCTCAGGGGTTTAAGCTTCAGGGCATAAGGAGTTATCGTACCCGTCTTTATAAAATGCTTAAAGTCTTGACTTAGTGGCCTCTGTTTTTGCAGATTTTGACAAGAGTTGTATAGGAGGCCTCTTAAAGCCGAGAGTACTTTGTTTAGGACAGGATCCTACTATTTCCAGGGTCCCCCTGTATTTCAACCACTTCGGACTTCGGGGGGTGTAGAGTTGAGGGTCAAGGTTGATTTTCGAGTGCTTTTTGGGTTCAACCTGTTCTTGAAGAGGGAGTGTTCGGGTTTAGGATTTGGGTTTTGGGTGGTTTAGGGGTGCGAGTTTTCTCGGTAGGTTTGGACTCAGAGGGCCTCCGTGAGATTTACGACTGGCTCAGATTGTCTTTAAAGACCAGAAACCCGCAACCCGCGACCCAGGCTGTTCTTGAACATCTTTTTTGTCTTTGCAGTATACTATACTCTTATGCACCGAAGTAGCCCAGTAAACGCCAATCCCTGAATGCGTTGTCCCGGAAAACTGAAATTCGGACAATTCGTGTTCCGTCCCGCCCAAGCCCTGAAGCTCAGAAAGAAGTCCTAAGCCAGGGTTTAGGTTCAGGGGTCCGGGGTGTAGGGTTTCTGGTTGAGCGTTTAGGATGAAAGGCCTCTGGCTTAGTACTAGCCTAGGTGTTTAGGAATCAGGGTTTTTGGGTTTATTTTTTGCGGCGGTCGCAAGAATCCCCAGACCCTAAACTCTAAAGGGTTTGGGGTTTAGGGTTTAGGGCTCCTGAAGCCCTGAACAACATAACACCCCCCCACAGCAAAACGAAGCCCTAATTGAACCCCAAGGTGGTATTTAGCTTCGGCTTGATCTTTGGCGTGTGGTATGCGGCGAGGAAGACTGTGCAGTTTCTGGCCGGAGGGATGCGGGAAACATACCTAGTAGTAGAGTACGTAACCTTTAAGCTTGTTTTGGGTAGCATAGTTTCTGTCGCTATATAATCCCTATATAACCACAAAGGGTTAACCTTTAGTTCCCCGTGATACCCGACAAGTAGGCATGCCTTTTGGGCTTCTTAAGGTGGTACCCCGAGACCCGAAACTCTACAGGGTTTTTTATGCTAGGATGCCCAGTGCTACCCTTCTTCCCTTTTCGTAGTCCCAGGTTCCTTATAAAGTTACCCTAAACCCTAAACCCTAAACCCTAAACCCTAAACCCTAAACCCTAAACCCTAAACCGTTTTACGTAATGACTGGTTGAAGTTCGGGGCACAGGTTTTATCGTGTTTGGGGCTTACGGCCCTGCGGGCTTCGGGAAGGTGTTTCGGGTTTTAGGGTTTTAGGGGCTTTAGGCTTTTCCTCAAAGGGGAAAAAAAGGAGGGACCCTTAATAAGGACCCCCAGGTATATACCCTTAATGTAGCTATTATATACCCATTATATAGCCCATTATAGGGTAGGGGTCCCCATTAAGGGTCCCTCCCTTTCCCCTTTGATTTCCCTTGCCGTGGAAAGAAACCAGACCCGAAGCCTCGACTCGAGCATCTTTCATAGGAGGCCAAAAGGGGTTTTAGCCTATGGGGGTTTAGTAGGGATTAGGGTTCCCATAATAGGGCTCATATTAAGGAATCCCTACACCAAGAGTCTTAAACCACCCTTTTGGCCCCCCATCAATCTTAAGCAGCCTTCAATGCTTCTTATTCTTCCGTGCCCTAAACCCCCTAAGAAAACTCTTGACCCCAACAAACCTTCCACATCCGCAAAAGCCCAGATAGAACCTTGAAAAAAGAGCCGTTACCCTAAGCCTTTGAGCCCTATAAACCCTACCGCCATAGGGCCATACATTACCATAAACCCGAAACCCTAAACCCTAAACTCTAAAGGCCCTCCTAAGCCCTATAAACCCTGAGCCCTCAGAGTCTCTTTGGAGCCCCCTCAGAGACTCAAACATCCCTTGATTAAGGAATATACTGTAAATAATATTAGGGGGTCCTACGAAAATTTAAGAGCTATCCCTGAAGCCCTACTGCAATCTAAAGGACATTCCTTTCTTTAAGGGATATTGGAGTCTCTGGGCCTCCAGAGTCTCTTACGGTTGATGATATAGATCCTGCATTACTCATCACAAGGAATATACCATAATTCCCATAGTCTAGGGTCATTAAGGCAATGCAGGATCTAGACCATCACCCTAAACCTAAAATCCCAAGACCCTATAGATCCCTTAAAGGGGACCCCTTAAAGCTGCCCCTATAGATCCCTTTAAAGGAACCCTAGGGATTTATGTCATCAGCCGTTGCACTGCCTCTTAGGAGCCCCCCTTCCTTGGGCAGGTCCAAAACGACTTCGCCGAGCGCGGATCCTGGGCGTTCCTGTCCTGGGAGTTCCGCGACACCTACACGTGGCTTGGGCTTTGAAAGGGTTTACCTGGACCCTAAAGAACCTCACTTTTTCGGGTTCCTTAGCATGATTTCCTTATATAGGTCCTTAAAGGGGTGGGTTCTTCCGGGTTAGGGTTGGGCTTTGAAACGGGGGTTTCCGACAGGAGGGGGCCCTAATAATATGGTAGGATCCTTATGATGAGGACACCTACACGCGGCTTGGGCTTAAGGGTTCAGGGTTTATCGGGGCGCAGCTTGGGCTTTTGACACAACTTTGAATTACAGGGCTTTGTAGGTTCAGGGGCGCAGCGTGAGGTTTGAGATAGCTTTGACCTAGGGTTTACGGTTTATACGGGCGCATCTTGGGCTTTGAAACAGATCTCGAGTCTTCATGAGGCTTTTGCGGTGGTTTTGCAATCGCTTGAGGTGTGGTTTGTTCCTGGAAGAGTTCCTATAAGAATTGTATAGATTTGTGTAAGGCTTCAGGCTCAAGGTTTTGGGTTTAGGGCTTCTAGGGTTCGGGGTTTCTAGGGGAAGTTTCTGAAGGCTTGGGGTTTCTACAGCTTTGGTTTTCGGACACCCAGCCCGCAGCCTGGGCTCCAAATCAGGATTCTTTCTGCGAAGGTCGGGCTTTGTTGTATGGGTTCTCGTCAAGGGGCTTAACTTAAGGTGCCATAATATACCATCATACTTAAACTAATTTCCTCAACAAGAACTCGGTAGAGCTTAAAGGACATGTGCACATATTCATGGAATTTGAAGCTAAGTCAGTAGCCGAGTGTTAGTGCGCCAAAGGGTCAGTTGAAGTTTGCAGAAATAGAGGTGCTTGTAGAACCACCGGGGTGTGTGGGATTTTGGAGTTATGTGGTAAGCTCCGTAGTTGTTTCTAGCTGCTTAGACTAGGCCTTGAGTTACTCAGCGAGAGAAGTTATCGGGTCTAAATTAGGGTTCAAGATGTAGATTCCGTAGCACGTTGTTTGGTTTTGCAACATAATTTACGGCTTGTCGTGTGGGTTTTTGGAGAACTATCCCGTGAGAGGCTTGTTGGGTTTCTGAAACTCAGGATGTTTGGGCCCTCAAGCCGGCTTGGGTATATATATATATATATATATATATATATATGTATGTATGTATGTAGGTAGGTATCTCTATATATATATATATATATATGCACATCTATTTGTATCTTCAGATAAACGTTGCACCTTTATCTATATCTATATATCGAATATGTGCAAATATTCGTGTATACATACATATATATATATATATATATATATATGTCTGTCTCTCTCTCTCTCTCTCTCTCTCTCTCCGTCATGTTTACAATCATCATATTAACAATGGTAATGATGGCTAACCTTTGGTCGTGTCAGAGGCTGCCTTGTATGGTTTGGATGGTGCAGATCTCGCCATCATGAAGCAGAGTATGGAGCAGAAGGTGTTCAATGGCAACAAACAAAGGGCCATGAACCCAGAGACTCCAATATCCCTTAATTAAGGAATATTCCTTAAATCATATCAGGGACCCTACTATAATTTCAGGCATATTCCTTAATAAAGGGATATTGGAGTCTCTGGGAAGAAGCCTACAACGGTCGCTGTTGGGGGCAACACGAAGAAGCAGGCTGCGTCGAAGCGTGCGGCTCAGCCCCAAGGTCGCGGCCAAGGCGAAAGGCTCAGGGTACTTAAAGGATCATGGGACTTAGTAACTTAAAGGGTTCCTTAAAGGGATCTATAAAGGGATCTATGGGAGTTTAGGGTTTTAAAGGAGGTTTAGGGTTTAAAGGATCATGGGACTTAGCAAGTAGAGTTATTATTAGGGTAAGTATACTTATAACCCCAGTTAGGATACTTATTACCTACCTTACTAAGTCGCATGATCCTCCAGGTACAAGTGCTCCTTCAAGAAGAGACGAGCCAGCTGTGTATACTGCTGATGGACAAAATCCTGCATGACCCTAATTAAGAACTCTAAACCATGGGAACTATGGTATCTTCCTTATAATGGGTCATGCAGGATTTTGTCCATCAGCAGTATCACAAGGAGATGACATGGAGGATCACCTATAGTCTCCATTGCCGTTCCTTTTTGGGGTTACCTGTTAGGATCCTTACTATACAATCGGCTAAACAAAAAAAGGAGCTACAATGGAGAGTATAGGCAGATTGGGCGATCTTCTCGCAGACTGCCAAAAAGAAGGCTTGAGCTGCCGCGACGGAGGTCGCATCCAAGATAGATGCTGGTACTTGGAGGATCATGGGACTTAGTAAGTAAGGCTCCTTATAGGGTTCCTTAAAGGGATCCTTAAAGGGATCTATAAGGGATTTATAGGGCCTCTATAAGAGTTCTATAAGGAGGATCATGGGAGCTAGTAAGCAAGGCTCTTTATAGAGTTCCTTAAAGGGATTTATAAGGGATCTATAGGGTTTCTATTCGAGTTCTACAAGGAGGGTCATGGGACTTAGTAAGTAATGTTATAAGTATCCTGGTTGGGATTATAAGTATAGTTACCTTAGTAATTAGGAATAAGCCTAGTTACTAAGTCCCATGATCCTTCAAGTATCATCACTGGAGAATACCAGAATTCAAGTGCCAGGCAACCCAGCCACGGGGGTCGATACACTCTACAGAGCCACGGTTTAGGGTTTAGGGTTTAGGGTTTCTAGAAGCCTGAAATACTTGCGCCGAGGCCTGCTATGGCAAAGCAGTGTCGTATCCACCAAACCCTTTTCCAATTATTCATGCCCTTATACAGTGGACCTACTAAAGCCGGATACAGACAGACCACTTGTTACGGAACTGCAAGGCTCCATATTCCCAGAACGTCGCCTCATTTTGGGGATATAGATCCATTATCGGCAACAATCAAAACCCTAGACCTTAAACCGCTAACCTCCACATCCTAAATACTTCACCTAGACCCTAGACCCTAAACCCTAAGCCCTAAACTCTATGCCCTACGCCCTGGACCCGAAGCCCTAAGCCCTAGGCCGTAGCAGCTGAGGTGGTGGTTGCTCGTTAAGATGAGCCGCGACTTGCTGCCGCCTGCTTGACCCAGAGAGCCCAAGACCCCTTACCCTAAGGGTCCATGTGCTCATATAGTATATACATTGGCCTTAATGTAGTCCCTATATAGGTACATTGGGGCCCATGTATCTCTATATGGGTACATGGACCCTTAGGGTTAATTAAGGCATACCTACGGCTCGGTTTTAGGGTTCGGGGTCTAGGGTTGATGTCGGGCTTAGGGTTCAGGGTTTAGGGTTTGGGGTTGAGGGGGACCTAGGGCTCGTTTAAGGGATCTATAAGGCAGCTATAAGGTTCAGCGTTTCGGGGATTCCAATAATCCATCAATGAAGGAGAATACCTTAGATTCCGTATGAACTACTACAATTTACTGTATATTGCTTATTCAAGGAGTATACATTAAACCATAATATTAAGTCCCTCATAATTTATGATTGAATTCTTGTTCCTTAATTATATAAGGGGTTCTCTGGGGACTCCCTACTTAACCCTACTGCCTGCAGGTCTTGAGGACGTTTGGGCACCATGGGAGCCCAAAAGTTCGAAACCCAATAGCCTCAATCCTTAAGATGTATAAGGAATCCCAGCACTATCTGGCCTTAATCCAGGTTTCCAACTTTATGGGGCTTCCTATAGGTTTCTAGATCCTAAACCCCTAAACCCCTAAACCCTAAACCTAAAGTTCCCTTTAAAGGAACCCTCATAGATCCCTTTAAAGGAACCCCTCATAGATCCCTTTAAAGGAACCCCTCATAGATCCCTTTAAAAGGGTTTCCAACTTCATGGGGGTCACTGTAAGCGTTCTGTAAGGCTTCGAAGGGAGATCTGGAGTCGAGGGCTTTTAGGGTTCCTTTAAAGGGATCTAAGGGTTCCTTAAAGGGATCTATAGGGTTCCTTAAAGGGATCTATGGGTTCCTTAGAGGGATCTATAGGGTTCCTTAAAGGGATCTATGGGGTTTAGGGTTCCTAGGGTTTAGGTTTAGGGTTTTGGGTTTTGGCTTAGGGCTTTGGGTTAGGATTTAGGATTTAGGGTTTAGGGTTTAGGTTTAGGGCTTTGGGTTAGTGTATGCCCCCCAAGGGTCCAAAGGACCCAAGAATTAGGTACTTGGTTTTGGGATAGCAGTTATGTAGGTTACTATTTTGGAGAGTATATGATCAGATAGGGTTGACTAGGATGCCCAGTGGTACCCTTATTCCCTCTTTGTAGTCCTAGGTTCCCTAAAAAGTTACCCAATGCCAAAAAGGGAGCCCTTTTTATTCCTAGGTTACTGGGCATCGCAGTTTAGGGTTAGTATATACTAGGGTTCTACTTGAACCCCCTCAGAGGGCAGTTTTTTTTGCAGCCTTCATGTCCGCATGAGTTTGAAGTGCTGCTTCGGGCCGTAACCTTACATTAATGACCCTGAAAGTCTTTGATCCTAAACCCGAATCTGTTGCACCCTAAGCCCTAAACCGTGAAGAACCTCACGATTCCAAAACCAACACCTCCAAAGCCTCGAACCTCGAGCCCCCCAACCCTGAACACAAAACCCCACGCAAAACCCAGTACCCCCAAATCCCACACCCATAAGATCCGTGTAAAGCCCTGCGGATTCCTTATATAGCCACCATAAAGCACATGACAACCCTTCAAATGTGTAACCCTTGACCTCATAGAGCCTTCAGCATGTGAAGGCTTATAAGAGTTGGGGAGGATTTGATTTCAAGTGAGGGTGCTTGTCTTTGTTTCGTGATGTCTAGGCGTACTAAAACCCTATGAGTTACACCAAATCCTATAGGTGGCGGGGCTGGGGCCTAGGAAACCCTATTATATTGGAAGGGTTAATTAGGGTTAGGGTTCAGGGTTTGGGTGGGGGGGGGGCCCCAATAGTCCGTTGGTTGTCTGGCCAGTTCTTCAACCACGCTCTCGAAGTCTGCCTCCATGGTACGCACCTGTCTCGTGATGAGTGCGACCGGACATCAGTGCAGACGTCTCCACACACTCCACCCGAGCATCCACAGTACATCCAGTCCTTGGCGCCCGCCGAACCGCTACAGCATTTGGCGCTCAAGGGGTACTGTACGCACGTCTGCACCCGGCTCGCGAATCGGTCCATATGGAGGAACTGAGCGTCGAGGGGAATCTGTCCCAAGATGAGCTGCTGAAGCGGATCCGCTAGCTCTGTCCGTCCGGAGAAGGCGTCCCTGAAAAGGGTGGATCAGTTTGCCTTGGGTCCGGATAAGACGTCCCTGCTAAGAAGCTCTTCTAAACGATGTTTCAAAACCCTTCAAATATACCTTCCAAGCAACCTAAAAAGCTCTATACAAAGCTACGAAAAGCATGCTAGAACAAGATTAAATCTCAAACCCAGCTTCTTCGTCCTTTAAAACAGGCCCCCCGTGTAGCTTCCTTCAGAAAAAGTTACACAAAGCAACAACCCTCCAGAAGAGCCACTGCAAAAACTCAAATCCCTAAACTCCCATAAGCCCCTAAACCCCTCAACCCTAAAACTTAAACCCTAAACCCCAAACCCCTAAACCCCCAAGCCCCTAAACCCCTAGACCCTTAAACCCTAAACCTAGACCCTATAAACCCTAATCCCCTAAACCCTAAACTCCCAGACTCCTAAACCCCTAAACCTGGCCCCTATAAACCCTAAACCTAGACCCTATAAACCCTAAACCCCTAAACCCTAAACTCCCAAAGCCCTTCAACCTTAAACCTAGACCCCCTAAAACCCTAAACTCTAAATCCAAAACCCCAAAACCCTAAAACCCTAAACCCCTAAACTCTTAAACCTTAAACCCTAAACCCCTAAACCCCAAAACTCGCAAGGATCAACGTTTTGGCAGCCGCCTTCACCAACCTGGGCTCGGTGCAGCCCCTCGGACACGGCACGAGTGCTTGTGAAGATGTCTTTCTTGCTTTCAGGGTTTATAGGGTCTAGGGGTTTGGGGTCTAGGGGTTTAGGGTTTAGGGTGTTTGTGAAAATGTCTTTTTGCTTTGAGGGTTTATACTTAAAGGATCATGGGACTTAGTGTAGCTATACTTATAACCCCAATTCGGGTACCTATAACCTTACTTACTAAGTCCCATGATCCTCCAAGTAGGGTCTAGGTTTAGGGTCTAGGGGTCCAGGGGTTTAGGGGTTTAGGGATTAGGGGTTTAGGGTTTACCTTAATTAACCCCGAATGACCTACCTTTTTAAGGACTTATATAAGCAAAGCATAATAAGGAACCCCAAAAAGCTAGGTTCTTTAGGGTTTAGTGTCGAGGGTCGTAAAAAACTGTACAGGGCTTGTTCGTTTGAAGTGTTCTTGTGAAGGCTTTTTTGTGTAAGGGTTGAGGCTTCGCGGTTGTAAAAACTGTACAGGGCAAAAACGATGTGGAACCCTAAATAGTAGGACCCATATTATAAGGATCCCAAAATATGATACCCCTTAATTTTCGGAAGCTCACATGTGTTTGCTGCGGGTTATGATAGTGTTCCTTCTTGAAGTCGGCAGGTTTGTGTGTACTTGGAGGATCATGGGACTTAGTAAGTAAGGCTCCTTATTCCTTGCAGGGATCCATAAGGGTTCTATAGGGTTTCTATACGAGTTCTACAAGGCGGATCATGGGACTTAGTAGGTAAGGTTGTAAGTACCATAATTGGGGTATAAGTATAGTTGCCCCAGTAATAACCCTAGTTACTAAGTCCCACGGTCCTTTAAGTGGCATTCTCGGCTTTTGTGTTTGGATGCTCGGGTTTGAGAGGAGTGTCGGTTTGCACGATTAGGTTTATTAGGGATTCAGCCCTTAGCCCTAAACCCTGAACCTTACAGAAATTTCTATCGAGTTAACACTTAACTGAGGGTTTTGCAGAGTTCTGCAGGGAGCGATTGACCTGCAATCCTGGGGCATTAACAAGCATAACCTTTGATTCGTATTTCAGGTCTTTAGGGCCTGAGGCGTTTATGAGATACTGTCGTACATCTGAGTAATCGCTCGTGGTGGTTTGACGTTTAACATGTGCTCAGAGCAATGCAACATGAGGTGCCGACGGCTTCTTCTGACCGTAGGGTGGGCTGTTGAAGCGACACCCCCGCTGCGCCGGTTTCCTGCGACGATCCGATAGGCTAAGCCCTAAATCGTAAAGGTTAAGCCCCAAACATCCCTACTCAAACCCTAAACCCTAAACCTATGCCGTAAAGATCCCTACTCAAACTTGAACGCCCTCAAAACTTAAAAAGACCTGAACCGCTTGAAACTCCTAGCCGGCTTGAGAGCTGAGAGCGGTAGTCCTTGCAGATGCCCGTAAGAACCCTCATCCTAAACCGGCCCTTTAGGGTTTAGGGGTTTAGGTTTCCCTAACCTTTGAACTTGATTAACCCTAAACCCTAAACCCTAAACCCTAAAACCCTAAACCCTAAACCCTAAAACCCTAAAACCTCTAAAACCCTAAAAAACTCTAAAACCCTAAACCCTGCCCCTCCAAAGGTTGTTGAGCACTGCTGTTGTCTCCATGGTCTACGCCTACTGGTGCGAGCATTCTCATCCTTTCCAGGAGCAGTTTCGGGTGGGTACGGGGTGGACGGTGTAGGGTTTAGGGTGTAAGGCTTAGGGTTTAGGGTACTTTACGAGTTAGTACTGGAGGGTTTTGGGGCTTGATCATTTTTCCTCTAAGGCTTTACGAGGTTGCACACCGTGCTATCGTGGCTGTACTCACGTTATATACAGTGATTCATATCGACTGTATGGGTTGGTGTCTTGCTACTGCTATTTATCGCAGTTGTTACGGTTGCTATGGCAGCTCAAAGTCACCACGTTACGTGTGTTTGAGAGTTAATTACTACTCTTTATTTCCATATCTAAGTCTTGAGCTAGGTATCGATTTGGGATAACTAACTTTTGACCTCCATTGCTGGTCCTAATTCCATATGCTTGTTGGAACTATTGAACTCGACACCTGGTGTGGGGTTTGGGAATGGATCATGGGACTTAGTATATAACTATATCTGGGGTAACTATAGTCAGATTGACTTATTACCCCTTTGAGCTACGTATAGCCTTACTTACGAAGTCCCCTGATCCTCCAAATATAGTGGTGCCCACATGGTTAGTGCGGAGAATCCCTGTACGTACTTTTTAAAGTTTAGGGGTGCGAGGATACTGCTGTGCCAACTGTCTGACCTCTGCGTCAGGGCCTTTGTGCAAGTTTTTTCACCCGCTTAGAGTGCAGGGTTTCGGGCACATACCACGACCCCAAAAGCCACTCAAGGTATCGGTGGTAGTATACAAACCCTAAACCCTGTGGACCCTTTGGGTCATAGAAGTCTTGACATCCTCGAAGAAGTCTGATTTATCAGCGAAACACGAAGCAAGACCATCATTGCCCCCCCGCCCCCCAAAAAAAACGCAGCCATTCTAGGTAGAGTCTTCGGCAGTGTGGAGTTTGGGGACTGGATGGGGCTAAGAAGGCAACTTCGCAGGTACTCACGGGGATTTCAGGTTCTACCAGGGCTTTCGGATGTTTTAGGACCCAGAGTAGGCCCTTATTCCCTTTTTTGAGGTTTAGGTTCCCTTATAAACCCCTTTAAACCAAAAAGGGCACCCTTTTTCTTCCTAGGTTACTCTTAGGTCTAGGCTCAGGGTTCTTTGTGTCTTTGGTGCTGGGGTTGACGTTGTTCAGGATTACGGATTGATTACTTGGAGGGTCGGGGGACTTAGTAAGTAGGTAGTAAGTAGACTTAGAAGTACCCTAAAAGGGACCCTATTTGGGGTTATGGTACTTATAAGTCCTTAAAATAACCAGTTACTAAGTCCCCCGACCCTCCAAGTAGGGCACGCTCGACCTGACCACACACCCAGAGGGTCCATGTACACTACTGCTGTGGAATTAGGTGCCGAAAGACCATCCCTGTTATGGTTTTGGGGACCTAATTCCGTAATGGTAGTGTAGATGGACCCTCTGGGACAGGTCTGAATTAGTTTAGCAATGTCACGTCTTCTAGGATCTCCAGTAGTACCCTTATCCCCTTTTTGTAGTCCTAGGTTCCTTATAAAGTTACCCACAATACCAAAAAAAGAGGCCTTTTTATTCTTAGGTTACTGGGTATCCTAGTCTTTGGTTCCCCACTAGATGGGGGAACGAGGTTCTGTCGATTCAGGCTGCTCCATGCACCCCCAAACCCATGCCAAAAAACTCCATGTGGAACAGGCCTTAAGTCACAGACTGAATATTGGGTGCCTTCATGTCATGTAAGATACTTTGCGCGATTAAGGGAGATTAGCAAATGCTTACTAATGTAGCTGTACTATGATATACTGACCCTCAACCCTAAACCCTCTACACGCCCTAAGCCCTAAACCCAAAACGCCACTCGAATCATACAGGCCCCTGTCTCCGGATTTGTGGGGTTGAGGATCCTTTGAACAACATGCTGGAGTCGTGGTGCTCCATCAGTTTGGGTGTCATCTGCTGCTCTGCGCAAAGCCCGTGGTTCAGGGTTAAGGATTTAGGGCCATTTAGGGTTCACCTGACCCATCCCCCCATGCCCTACTATTTCGAGATAAATTTACGGACATGTTATGTTGACAAGTTTTTTCTGAGGTTGAAGTAGGGTTTAGGGTTAAGAGTCTGAAGGCGGAAGCTTCCCGCTACCCGTATTCTGGGTTCATGTTAATTAAGAGGTTTAATTTAAGTTACCATGCTAATATTCACTATAGATCCCTATTATGATGACTTAAGTTAAAATGATTAACAAGAACCCGGTATTACTGAAGGAAGATCCAACTCCTCAAGAAAGCACCAGGCCTCAACGGCGGAGCCCCGAAACCCCACCCACCCCAAAATCCGTAGACCCTAAACCCTAAAAGCAATGAACAATACCATAACGTAATCATAGCCGACCCTAAACCCTAAACCCTAGCCCTAAATCCTAAACCCTAAACTCTAAACTCTAAACCCTAAACCCTAAAATCAATGGTCGATACCATAACGCAATCATAGCCGACCTCAAGCCCTGAGGTATACAAAGTCAGATCCCCGGTTGAGGGCCAAACCCCCTAACCCCAGAGACTCCAATGTCCCTCAATTAAGGAATAGGCCTTAAATTGTAGTAGGATCCCCAATATGATTTAAGGAATATCCCTTAATTAAGGAATATGCCTTAAATTATAGTAGGATCCCTAATATGATCCAAGGAATATTCCGTAATTAAGGGATATTGGAGTCTCTCTAACCATCGAAATCGCAAACCCGAAGCCAAAATCCCCAGGCCTACCTTAAACTACCAGACCGTACTGTTTTGTAGGTTCTTATGATAGACCCGAATGGTATGGAATTTATAGGGACCCTACAAAAAATGTAGGTTTTGGTATGCTAAGGTATCTTCCCAGAGCCTCCAAAACCCCTTCATTAAGGAATATACCTTAAAATCATATTAGGGATCCTATTATAATTTAAGGTATATTCCTTAATTAAGGGGTTTTGGAGTCTCTGGGCTGAGCCTCCCCGAAACCTTAAGCCCAAGAGGCCCACGCCCAGAGTCTTACAAGCCTGGACAACTGCCACGTTGAAGCCTAGGGTTTAGGGTTTAGGGGTTTAGGGTTTAGGGGTTTAGGGGTTTAGGGTTTAGGGGTTTAGGGGTTTAGGGTTTAGGGCTTTAGGGGTTTAGGGTTTAGGGGTTCAGGGTTTAGGGTTTAGGGTGTCGGGGTGGGATAGCCAATAACAGAGTGCCCTGATAGTCCTTGCGCACATATTACTAACAGTAGTGTAATATTTCGAGCAATTCTGTTCTGAGTTCTTGAGGCTAGGGTATTAATTCTCATTGTCATGGAATGCTTTAGCAGAGCCCCTTCAGGAACCCTTACAGAAATTGTGCTCTAGTGTCCTACATCTCGGCTCCTGAGCCCTGGAGCTTGCTGAGTTCGGGGTGCCCAAAGGCAGCCTGATGACCCTAAACCCGAAACCTCTTGCTTGGCCACCCTGACTCAACTTCTGAAGCCCAAGATGGAGCAGAAAAACATCAAGTTCCTCTGGGAAGAAATGGCTGCGATGCTTCACTCGCAGCACATCTTCTGCGAACTTTGCAAATGGAACAGGCGGCGGAAGGAAAAGACGGGTTTAGGGTTTAGAGTTTAGGGTTTAGGGTTCAGGATTTAGTGTTTAGGGTTTAGTCTTTGGGGTTTAGGGTTCAAGCGTGCGCAGGTGCATGCTTCCAGGAATGCGTGACTCTGACCCTGCAGGGTGTGCAACTGGAAGCTGTGCTGGATCGGGCCCCGGGGCTTGGTGATCCTGTTCCATTCGGAGATCGAGAACGCCGAGCCCACGCTTCAGTCTGGAACACCCGACCCTGAATGTGGCGCTGCGCCTCCAAGCCCCGCCAGCTACTTCGCCTCCGACCACGAGTTGTGGCGGATAGCCACCCTGGGCTTACATCCATGCCGTAGTGACACGAGCAAAGTATCATCAGAAAAGCCTGGGCCTGCTGAGGTGGCTGGCCATTTGGGAGTTTCCGAAAATAGGGGACCCTGCTTCAGTACCTCAAATAATGGAATCCTGACCCCCAAACAAGGTACCCCTAAGTTTCGGAAACTCCCATATGGGGCCCCTTTCCAAAAAGGGACCACCCCCAAAATGCGGGGCCGGTCCTGGGGGGTGCCTGGAAAAAACTTGCAGTTTTGGGCGTGTTTTGGCATTGTGCCTGAATTACCTATACTAGTTTGGGACATTTTGTATTGTCCCTTATTGGGCTTAAAAGGATCTTATTTACCAATATTTACCAATATTTTTCACAAGATTGAAAAGCACCCACCTAGAAAACAGATTGAACATTCTACAACACCACATTCCAAAACCTTAAGCCTTAAGCGCCGAACCCTGGCAGCCTAAAACCCTCAACGCTACACCCTCCCCCCTCTTCTCAACCCTAAAGCCCTAAACCCTAAACCCTTAACCCCAAAACCCTAAACCCCAAAACCCCACAACCCTAAACCCCTAAACCCCACAACCCTAAGCCCCTAAACCCCACAACCCTAAACCCCAAAGCCCCCCCTGAAACCATAAACCTCTAAAGGGGTAGCTCTAACAGGTACCTACAGCAATGGCTGCATGCTCATACATATACATTCCGCTGCCCATTGGCTCACAGTGGTTTTACCATATTGAGACAGGACAAGCTCTCCTTGCGTAGCAAGACAAAACAACTACTGTCCGTGTGCAGGGCGCTGCCCTTTGATCCTTAGGGAATAACTGGTCATACACCTCCTAACAAGGAGTATTCCTTGTGGGTGTATCGGCACAGTTTTCTGGTAGCGGAGCCCGGAAAGGGCCGCCCGCCTCACAAAGTCCGCTACAGCGGTCGGCCTCGCCGAACGCTTGACCAAGCGGATAAGAGGCAGCACAATGTCGAGCTCGCATAGCGAAGCCGACGGCAGTTCCCAATCCTCCGGGGGATATGAGAACGAAGAGACCTCCCAAGGTCCAGCCACTTATGTCGCACAGTCATTTGCAACATCTGACCGCATGCTTGCATCATTAGGCATAACGCCCAAGATCGCGCCTGCCTATGATGGCACCACTTCGTGGTTTGAGTATGAACAGTTGATTGACGACTGGTGCGACATAACAACGCTGGATGACACCAAAAGAGGTCCGTCTCTCAAGACGAGGCTCTCCGGATTGGCCGCAGTACAAAAAGAATCACTTAACCGAGAAAGGCTTGCAGCCCCAGATGGAGTAGATTACTTCAAGAAGAAGATGCGTCCATTTTTCGTGAAAGGAGAACAGTACGTTTTCCTGTGGCGTTTCCTCGGCCTATTCAAGGCATGGAAGGGCAACCAAGACTTTGTGACTTGGATTGCTAAGTTTGAGATCGTGCTACAGCGCGTGAAAAACTCATGGATGGATCTCTTACCAGAGATAGCTCTGGAAGATGCCCATCCAGATTTCATGCAAGCTGTGCAGGCAGACCGAACCTTCCTGGGCCTACAGGAAGCAGCCGAGAGAGACACATACGCCGCACGCTATTTCGAAACATGGAACAAGGAACGCCTTGACAATCATCGAAGAGCGTTTCCTCTGAATGATAATCTCCTAGCTCTCCTCTTCCTAGTGCAGTCCGACCTAAATGAGATGCAACGTGAGAGGTTGGTAACAGCATTGACCAACCAAGGTCACCGAATTGAGACCTACACGTACCCTGTGGTACGGCAGACCATGTTCGATCAGTTCTCAACGACCAGAACTGGTCTGCAGGATCCCAACATTCGGCACTCTTCTCACAAGAAGGACCGCCATGGAAGGAGAGACCAACGCCGCAAACGCGGAGGTCGAAACTTCCTCATCCTCGATCAGGGTGAATACGACGGAGTCGATGGATTCTGGCTCCAAGACGAAGACACCCTTGAGGAAGGCTTTCTTGCCGCCGAGGATGAAGAAGCTGTCTTCTGGACAGTTGACGACCATGAAGCCTTCGTTGCAAGGAGATTCAAAAAGGGAAGAAGACCAAGAATGCGTCCCGGATCACCGGGAAGAGCAAAGGGTGGCAAGCGAAAAGGACGTGGCCGTTTTAGGTCATACCGCGGAAAAGGGAGAGCCAACCAGGCAGAACATGATCCAACTGATTCCAGCTATTTCGGTAAAGGTAAAGGAAAGGAAAAAGGAAAAGGTGGAAAAGGCAAGGGAAAAGGAAAGGACAAAGGAGATAAAGGAAGCTCCTTCAAGGGCTCAAAAGCAAAAGGCAAAGGTAAGGATACAGCTAAGTCTGCCTCCTTACAAGGAGACCAAACTGGATCTCCACAGGCCTATGAAAGTTCCACCGCACCGAGCTGGGATTCATGGTATGAGGACAGTTATTATACTGACTCCAGTTGGAATTATGCCGCTTATGACGATCAAACGTCTTATACATACTATGCATCACAAGCCTCAAGAAGAAAAACACGGAGAAAGAAGAGAAGAAATCAAGCAGGATCATCAGGTAGAGGCACAGATCCGAGCGCGCACCAAGAACCCGTGTTCAACTCATCAGTGAGTTACGTGCCCCAGGTCTTTGAACCATCCGAGGGGCAAGGTGTTGAAACTGCAACAGCGGTGTTTCCGTTGCAGCACACCGTCCTATCTGCTCTCACAGAGCGGATCAATCTTGATAAGAGCCCTACCTTTGTCATACTTGACTCAGGTTGTACTAGGGCTATGGGTTCCCGCTATGCGGTGAACAGGCTTATCAAGGCCGTGAAGCAACGTGCCCCAGGCATGATTGATTTCACTTTTCACCTTCGAACACGAAGTTCTCTTTCGCAGATAGTGAAACAGCTCTTATCAAGGAGCGTGTAACTCTATGGTTCAACACAACTCCAAGAAGAGATACAACCATAGAAGTTCTGGATCAGGGGAGAGTCCCCATTTTGTTTTCCATCGAACAGATGAGGAATTTAAGAATGACCCTCGAGTGTAGTCCACAGCTGACCTAGCA